GCAATTCGGTTTCTGGGTTACACTGAAAAGTTTAATAAAATACTACATACATTCAATCTCTTCAGCAATTTCATATAATGGAATCTTCTGCTCATCAATCTACTGATTCGTCAAATTGCTGAACAGAAGATGATCTCATAAATCAGACTATAAAGTACATTTTGTCAAGCATGGAAACATTTCAAAGGCATCTGAATAAGAAGATTCAATTTTACATACAGATGGCATTCAAAAGCTGTCTAAAAAATCTAATTTATATATTACAACTATCAATAAGACGAAGAAGAAATTCCTTGCTGTATTACAGGTCATTTGCGGAATTTTCTTCCCGCAAAATTCCACAAATAATTCAGTCATGGCGACAGGTTAATTCCAAACTTGTCACCATGACAAGAAGAGCCGCCACCCGTCATTCAGAAGGTAATCTTTTGTCAAATGACGCATTTTTCGTGCTTCAGAGAAAGCAACTTCACGTGCCTCAATCAGGGCAATATAAAACAGAGGGCAAATTACTGTACTCCAAATTGCTGACGCCATGGGAATTTATGATACTAGCTGTCGCGTGTGACGCCATAGGAATTTATTATCCTTGAACGACGTGGTTTCCGTGGATAAGCAGGCATCATAGGTGCAGTAATTCCAATTGACTCCTGTAAAGATAGCCTGGAACATTTCAAAATGGTATAAATACCATTGCAATAAGGTAGAAATGGATTTTTCAAACGCAGACGAGATTGCTTGGTTTTTCCTTCAAGTTCACGCTGAGCAAGTTTGAAAAATTTTGGAAAAGTTTTTTTTGTCTCTGAGTTTTCAAGATATTTGAAAAAAACTGCATATTTTTGGAAACAATAAAAAAAATAGAAAGAACATGAAGGTCCTTGGTTTTGTGCTCCTTTTTGTTGCCATGGCGTCGGCGAAACCGTCAGAAAGGAATAGTATTTCTGCCCAGTGCCCATCCACCAATGATCCCAATAGCTGGGCAGTCCATTTGGCTGACCCTGAAGATTGTGGAAAGTACTATATTTGTGACTGGGGTCAGGCCATCAGCATGCCATGCCCAAGTGGACTCCACTTCAACCCCACCCTTCAGGTAACTATACTGCCTAAATGTGTGCATATACCTACATTAAAATCGCATCACACCCAACTCTTGGGGGGCTTAGAAGGAATTAATTGTAAAATATTTTGATTTGATGAGAATCAGATTCATTTAGGTATGTCGGGCTGAAATTTTGAGGGCAAAAGGTAATGGATGCTTATTTACTGAAATAACTTCTTAAAGTACTTAAACAGCAGTTATTTTGTGAAGAATTGTCCAAATTTCCAAAATTAGTTTTATGAAATGCTGAAGGAAATTCAAAATGTAATTTAAAATTATTTTTAGATGTTACCTTCCTGGATTTTTCAAAGAATATACGAATCTTGCCAAATTGTAAGCAGAAGAAAGAGAAAAAATTTGTAAGAAGAGCATTTACCCACTCAAAACTGGATGTTCCCCAAAGTGAAGCATTAACCTTAAAAACATGCCTTTTAAAAAAAAAATTAGTAATACTGTACAATATCTCCATTTTTACATCAAGCTAAATACATTTTCATTTCACATCCATACTTGTTGCAATGCTAAATTTTCTCTACAAGAGGATCAGTAATTATATTTTGTGATGTTATTTTCAATCACTCCATCTGCAAAAGTTGAATTTTCTCATCTTGTGCCAATCATGATAAATTGCTATATTCTATATGAGCACATAATCATGGCAAAATTTCATTATGCTGGGATGAAAAAGCAGACTTGGTTGTAATAGCACAATATATATTACATTGCATTGGCCAATGATGAAAAAACTGCCCGGACAGCAAAACAGTAATACTGTACAACAAAAAATTGACTATGAAAATTTTTTTGCCAAATCTCAATTCTAGCCTGCAGCTACATGCATTTATATCTGAGTTTCATCCTTCCTGCGATGCTAATTTTGCTGTACATGAGGATTTGTATTCCAATTTTTTTGGCATTTTTTGCATATGCTGCATAAGCTGGCATTTCTGATATAGGAGGGTTCTAACAAAATTTCTCGGAATGAAAATGAAGATGGCGTCTAATCGAGCTGGAAAAAAATTATTCTTTAGGGCAACCATATTTTTTGGCACAAAAAAAAATCAGCCCAGTTTGACAATTTTTTTCAATTTTTTGCAAAATTTACCCTGGCAGAGTTTTGCTATACACTCAACAGATGAGGCACCCTTCCTGCAGCTTTTTTTTTTTTTT